TATACACAAATATTAGTTATATTTGAAAATAAGAAACAAACAAACCTCAGTATATTGTAAAATACACGTGATAAAATGGTAATGAATGCATGTATCAACTAGTCTGATTCCCTTATGCGCTTCCGTGAAAACTCTAACCTGCGATAACTTTAACCGTTCAAACATTTCAGGACGTGCTAAAGTTACGTTACTTATCTTGTTTATTAAATTAACTATTAACGATAATTGTTTCTAACAATATACGAAAACATTTTTATTTTCATTGAACGTCTAAGCCATTTCACAAACATTCCCATTTAATAAAAATAAAATCGAACAAAATTTTCAATTTCCATTAAAACACTTTTTGCTTGTCTCTATAAACGTTCTAAATTGATATTAACACCAGGGAGCTAGTTTCTTCAGTCAGGCAAATAATCTCGCTGTATCCTCTTGTTAAACCACCACTGGATACTCCCAGGAGGAATTAGTGTGCATGTTCTGTGCGCACGATTCCTTCCTCTGCCGCAGTCACTCATCACTCAACACGCTGGCATGGCAATCGTCATCCATCATCATTCGCCCGCCAAGCGGCAACTAAGCAGAATGATTAATGACTATCACATTATGTAACCTGGCCACCATACCACTAGACAATGGTTTGCACGTTTAGAGCTATTTTAAATAATACAGCAATCTCTTAATGTAATGGCATAATTTCAGAAACGTTAAAAATGTCATATACTTTCTTCCTTTCCTTTTCACTGGTAGTCCTAGAATATAGTTGGGACCTTGTATTGTTATACGCGTACCCTCAGAATCTGCCAAAGTTATTTCTTGATAGAGTATTGTGACCATAGAAACATGGGACGCAACCTGTCACGTGACGCACCGTTAAGAAAAGGGAATGGACGTGGAAGATAGGATTGCGCGCGTTTTACAGCCCACAGTTTAACGACACCCATCTAAAAATGACTGGAAAAAACGTGTTATTTGATGTCTCTAGAACTGTCATCCAAACAGTGGCATCGGGCAACCACGCTATATGGCCAGAGTAAAAATTCCGTTCGCGTGCGGCCTCAATTCTAGGACCACCTGATCTACAAAGTTTCACTCACGGACTCGCGACACACAAAGACACGTGCTGACCGTTTCATTCCACGTGCAGCGCATTTCTTTCCTAGGGGACTTCTTGGTAGAACCCTCGTTGCGACCGGAGTCTCTGCTCGCGCTACTGCAGGCAACGTCGGAGCGCCTGATTGCCCTCGGCCCTCCGCCCTGGAGGGAGCATGGGGGTGGGATGAGGGGCGTTGGAGGCTGGAGGGACATGGAGGAGGGCGGATG